CGAGCCCCGGGGCGCAGATGCCAGCGGTAGCCGTCGCCCCGGGGATGCCGCCGGCCCTCGCCGCTCCGGATGTGGTGGGGTTGGAGCCGGCATGCGGCGGCTGGACGTGGCGGGTGGGCAGCGAGGGGCTGTGGTGGGCGACGAGGAGCGTGCTGGGGGCTGTGGTGGTGGCAGCTCGAGACTCGGAGAGCGTCGCGACCCCGTTAGGCGCCTCGGCTGCCGCGCAATCATCCTACAAAAGTTAACTTGTCTGCGTCCCTCCGCGAGCCGCTCCCTCGGAAAGCACATGGGGGCGACCGCGGTGGCTGAGCGCCGGAAGGGTTACAGCGAGATCCCGAGTCCGGGCGGTGGCGCAACTTTCGCTGTTTTCTGTAGGCGCCAGTGGGTTTGACTGTGACCTTGCGGGAGGAAGCGCCCTGAACTTGAGTTGGCGCGGCGGAGTTGGGGAGGGGGGGCTGCGCTCCTGAGGGCGCACACACTCAGAGCGCCCCCTCGCCTTACCAGCGGTCGGGTGTCGGGTCACCTGGAGCCCCGAATCGCACCTCCTCACCCCAGGGTCTGAGCTAGTGCCACCCTGGAGCTGGGTGGATCGACCCCTGTGTGCCCAGAAGTACGCAACGGGCTGGGGGCTGGGCGGGCCCCTGGGTCTCAGGGCTCGGAGTGTCCCGCAGAGGGGACAGCCCTGAGGGCAGTGACCTGGCACCTCCGCCGGCTCTCTGGTGTCCCCGCCCCCTGGGATCCGCTCTCTGGCACCCGCGCCCCGCGGGTTTGTGCTGTTCGGGTTCCCCAGGGAGAAGACCTCTGAGGCTGTGTGTGGGGTCGCAGGGAGCAAGTTGCGGGGTGGAGGCTGGAGCTGGGCGGTGCTCACCAGCCAGCCGGGCAGGAGAGGAGCTAGGGATGAGGCTGTGCCGCCCCTGTAGCTGCCCACAGTAGGGACAGTGTTTAAACAGCCCCCTAAAACGAAAGGGCGTAAGGGCAGGGATTTCCCCTTCTCTCCCCGACCTACCCGTTTGTGCTCTTGAATCCACACTTGTCTGCCCAGCTCACCCTTTTCCGCCGCTACATGTGCCTGAGGCCCTACTGTGTGCGGGGCTGCGCGCCAGGGTGTTCCTAGAAGCTGCGGGAGGAGCCTCCGGGCCAGCCTGTTTTTCTTCCCCGAGTTGCTGGAGAGGCTGGGAGGCTCCGAAAAGGCGAGGCGCACTGCCCCCCGCCGGCCGCCGTGGGAACTGCCCCTTGGCTCCGCGCTGGGGAAGGGGCAAGACACCTCCCGGTCTGTTCCTGACCTGTAAAATGCCATCAAGACTGCTCCTCCGCAGCAAGTCCTACCGATGCAAGTGACACAGAGTCGCGCGAATGCATGTGCCTGCATATGACAGACACACACGCACACACTATGTGTGTGTGCAGCGTGTGTGCAGAAATGAAATGAGAGTCCAGAGCTCTGCTGGGCCTGACCTGCTAGTGACCAGGCCAAGACCCCTGAGCAATCCCAAGGCCCGCACACATGTTTGCTGCCCAGGGTGAACCCCTGGCGGGGCAGGGGCAGGGCGCCAGAGAGCAGGGTCTTCACATGACCTCCGGTCTGCTGGGCCTGAGAGAAAACAGGAAGTATCCAGAAGCTCCGGCACAGGGAGTATTCTGGGGGTGATTCTGTGCTCAGGAAAGGCGCTGTGGGCTGCCTCCTCTGACCTCAGGGCTGTGCTGCCACTGGGAGGTGCAGACCAGGGTCCCCAGCACCCCTCCTAAAATCGGGGCCCTCCATAGATTTGGCTGTGGAGCGCTTTGGTCTTCCAGGAGTAGAGCGGAGATCATCTGTGGGCCGGCCCGGCGTGAGGGGTCCGTGGAGGTTCTGGGAGCTCAGGGTTGCATGGGCTCTGTTCCAGCCCCTGGGTCCGCCCCCCCGCCCCCGCCGCCCCCAGGACAGCACCTGGCGGCAAGCTGTCCACTGCTCCAGGGAGGACCTTGAGCTGCCTTGATCTCTACAACCTCTGGGTCAGTCACCTTGCTTGAGTCTGTTGCCACGTAGCTGGCTGGTGGCTCAAAGGGACTCTATTTGGACAGGGCTTGGCCACCTGCCGCTCCAGTGGAAACCCTCCCCCACATCCCCTAGCAGCACAAACAGCAACTCAGAAATGGAAACGCAAAGCTTCACCAGCCCCCTCCTTGCCCTCCCTCCTCAGAGTGCCTTCTGCATAGACACAAGCCCGCCTGAGCCCAGGAATTTCGGAATCAGGTGACACACTGTCCACCGTAGGCCTTCAGCCGCCCTCCTCAGAGGCCCCGAGGATCCCAGTTCCCCCAGCACACACACAGTACCCTGCGGGGGATGAGAGATGGCCCAGAAGTTTGAGACTCGGGGTGACGTTGTGGGGACTCCCAGATGTCCCACGAGGGAACCCGCGGGACCGAGGACCTAGTTGGTCTCCACTCCACACGTTGAAAAAGTCCTTGGAAACCACTTATTCAACTCTCTTAATTTCATGCACAGACACCCAGGCCCAGAGGGGAGTCCTGGGATCGTGGGGACAGCTGATCTGGAGCGAGGCTGGGCCTGCTGGGCCTTCTGCCCTGCTGCTCCCAGCCCGGAGCGTTATTTCTGTGGGTGTTGAGGATGGGTGGCTTGTTTTGACTTCAGTGAAACCAACGTTCACTAGGGACATACTGTGTCCAGGCACCGTGTGAGCAGCTGGACCAGAGAGGGAGGAAGCTGGGTCGGCCTTCCGGAACCCCCGGGTCACGTGCAGGGGACCTGCACAGTGGCCATAAACTCGTGCTGAGTGAGGGCTGGTGCTGAGAAGGGAGTGGGTGAAACAAAGTCCGAGTTCCTGATCAGACTGAGAGAGCGAAGGCGCGGTCCTGCATCCTTAGCCCTGGGGCCTCGTCAGAGTGCCCTGCGTGTGCAAGTGCGGGCAGATTAGCCATCGGCCTGTTCTGCAGAGCTGAAGGAAGTGGGGGAACTTAGAGGCTCTGTGCTCGGCCCCATTTCCTGCAGCAGGGTTTGGCTGTGGGTTCACTTCCGTTGGAGCCCGTTAGCCACTCAGCCGGGGCTGTGCACCGTTTGAGACTCCAGGGGCTCCCGAGGCGAGTGATATGGAGAGCTGCCGCCTGGCTTTGGGCAGATGACCGGCTCTGCCACTAGCACTTGTCCTTAGACTTCCTCTTAGGGGGAGGGAGCCGGCTTGGGGGGGCGGTGAGAGGCACAGAACAGCCCAGTTTTCGGGGGCACAGTCCCACCATCTAGCTGTGTGTGCCCAGCAAGCCCTGCACCTCCATGAGCCCAAGCTGAGGCGCAGTGTGCCCAGGCTACCGGAGTGTGTGGGATAGTGCCGCAGCGGGGTACAGAGTGCCGCAGCGGGGTACAGAGGCCACACCAGGTCCCAGATGAGGGCTCTTTGCTTGAGGCTCTATTCTCTCGGTAGCACAGAGTATGTGGGAACTTGAAGAGTTGACGAAAGGTGGAAAGTTCTGGAAAGTTCATGGAAAAATAGCTTGAAATTCAAGGGTGGTTTCAGTGTTAAATGGTTTGCTAATAACCCCACCGAAGGAGCAAGGCCCAAGGATAGGGTGCAGTGGTGGCTTTTCTTATTCCTGCAGGTCCTATGCAATACTAAAGTTTCCTTTTCCCAGGGAAGGACACAGAATGACCAGGGGCAGGGTCACCTGGTGGGGGAGGGCGATGGTGGTGGTGGCAAAGTTGCAGGCGCCTGTGGGACTCACACTGGGGCAGGTGTCGCCCAGGGCTGGGGTGTCACCATTTCCGCCTGGACCGAGTCCTGGCCCCGATCCCCGGACTGGCATGTTGCTAAGTCCCTCCATCCCCTCAGCTGGTCAGAGGCAGCCGCTCAACGAGGGAGGCTGGGAGGAGCCCGGTGGCCCAGCGTGGGACCTGCCGTGTGGACGGAGATCCCAGTGGCCTCTACTTATTTTTTTCTTTTTTTCATGCCATGAACTACTTAATGTATAGATCTGTTCATGGAAAATGTTGATGCACGTTCAGTTTGCCGAGATCAACTTGACTTGTTCGTACACTTCATGATCATTGAGTAAATCATTTTCATTTCTCCTGAATGTGAAGTTGCCTTTAGTTTTACTTTGGGTATCCCCGTGTGGTTACTAGGCATTCTGTGAGCCTGTGCAGCGACAAGTGTTGTCAGCTTTGACCCACAGCAAACAGACACGTTCACGTGGAGCCGAGTTTACAGAGATGAGACCCCAACAAAAGGCCCGTTGACCGCCCCACCTTCCCCTAAAGGGAGCAATGAGTGAGAGGGGCCAGGAGAGCCTGGCAGCAGGTTCTGACAAAAGCTTTTGGAGGAGAGGTGGAATCTTCCTCCTCTACCTGGCTGGGAGGAGCCCCAGAGATAACCACCTCCCTTCTCTGTCCTCCTGTCCCCAGGCTGAGCCTACC